AAAAAAAAAATGATGACAGATTCTTTGTTCTTTTGAAAGTGATTTTTTTTTGTTTACTATTATTATTATTATTTTTGGTAATTATTATAAAATTGAAAAGTCCCCAAAATTAAAATATGTGGTAACTATATTATATGGAAGTTGTGGGGTGCCTAAAACCTTCCCCACGCTTAACAGACCCTCAAAGTCTAGTCAATTTCTACGTAAACCTTGGTGATCTATCCCACGTCATTTGGATAGATGGCGACTCCATCTATTTTGGCACGTCAACAGTTTGGCGACTCCATTGGGGACATTGAGGGGTCAAGCCATTTTTACTTTAATTTTGGGGTTTTTTAATTATTAACTTTTGTTTTGTAGGTGGCATGGAGTACCTTGTAAGTTTTTTTTATTTTGTTATTTTATTTTATATTTTTGTTATTTTCATATGTTAATTTTATGTGTATACTCCCTCACACACCTCACTTGCATATCATTTTGTCCTTGATGAGGTGAACTTGACTTCTAGATAGATGGATAACTCATGGAACAATGCACAGCACAATGCTTTCCTTGTGAAGTGGGATTTATCTCTTTAAGGTTCATTTTGTGAGTTAATATGACCTGCCAGTCATATTGCTGCTGCTATATTAGGTCATGAAATGCCTCTTGTTAACTTTATAGAAGTTGGTGATTGTTGACTTTATGGAAGTCAATAGTTGTTGGCTTTATGGAAGTTAGCAATTGAAAAAGCCTAATCATATAGAATCAACTAGGAAACCGCATGTAATGGTCTTAGATGAAAACTTAATCATAAGACGGCTAGCCTAGTAAACCATCGTCAAAGTTTAAGAACCTTATTAGGACACATAGGGAGTATTTTATTCTAAAATAATGTTTTGTGTTTCTTAGGTGAGGAATTCGACCAAGAGGTATGACATTTATTAACTCTCCTTTTTCTTTTCTTTAATAAATAGGTAATCGATTATTTTACACATGGATTCTTCGGAGAAAAAGGACAATAAGGGAAAAAAGGTGAATTTAGAGCTAGAATGTCCGCTGTTATCCAAAAAGAACAAGTCACACAAGGATGGATTCTCTATGCAGACCAAAAGACCTTGTGTAAAAGACTTGGTTGTTGCTTGGAATAGTCTAAGTAATCTTGACAAAGTGAGGTTTGACAAGAGATTTGGTAGAATAGTTTATGTCTTACAAGTGGAGTTGGACTAGTAAATCATTAGGGCAATCCTAAGATTTTATGTCCTGCGTCTTCGTTACTTTTTTTTTTTTCTTTTTGAGTTTAAATTCGTGCTCACCATTGATTAATTATTATTTGGTCACCCAACAATGAATTCAAAATTTGATCAATGGAATCTATTTTGAAACGGTTGAGGTTGAGCATTTGAAGTCAAATTTCACATTTTCTTGAATTCTATTTGTTGAGAAAAAACAAGTTCCTCAATATAAGAGAAGAAAAGATATGAAGGAGGCAATCTCCTCATTATTTTTCTTTTCAAAAAAAAAAAAATTCAAAAAGGTCATGAAAGGGGCAATCCCCTCATGTTTCTGGCTTGCGTGACAGTTACTTGGCTCTAATTTCTCCTTCCCTTTACATGCAAGTGGTTAAAGTTGTTCTTGACAATGAAGAATCTATGTGTAAAACAAATAATTAGAGGATAGATTTATTCATCCATTTATCTAATGGAAACATTGGGAACTTTCAAAATGTCAATTAGATAAATCCATGATTTGTTAATAATGCTTATATTTTCTTCAGGTGTTGGAAGATTGGTCCTAAAAAAAATTATCCAAGAGTTCGTTCACCTATTCTAACTAGAGCTCTTGCAAGCAAGATGGCTAACAAAGCTAATTTAGAGAGGGGAGCTCTTGAAAATCATGTTGAAACTATGGAAAATATTTTGAAAGAATTGATGGCTTCATTCCAATCTCTTCAAGCAACCTTAGTCACAAGGGCACCTTTGGCAAAAAAATCCTTTGTTTGAAGGAAATGTTCCGGTGGCAAATCTCCCTATGGCCACATTTGCTTTAACTCTTGGGAACGAGCCAATGTCATCTTGCCCACCAAATCCAACTATTATTGGAGCTTCTGGGACAAAACCATTTGTTCTGAATGCTGGTGTTGCTACAGTTCAATCTAATGAAAATGATCAAGTAGAGACTCAAGTGGTTAAGTCAACTATAAAGGATGAAGACAAGGCAATTAAAGTGAAGGTGCAGTTGATGGAGGAAACACTAAAATCGATGCTAGGTGTCCAAGCTAATAAACTGGTTGACATCTCATTTTCGTGCCTTTTCCCAAACATTCAACTGCCCCATAAGTTTAAATTGCCTAAATTTGATAAGTACAATGGCACCGGTTGTCCTTATGCTCACTTGACAATGTACTACAGAAAGATGGCTTCTTATGCCAATGATGAAAAGCTAATGATACATTACTTTCACGACAGTCTGATAGGTCCTACAGATGCTTGGTTCTCTACTTTAGACAAAAGAAGGGTCAAAAGTTGGCATGATTTGACTTACAATTTCATGAAGCAATATGAATACAACACATCATTAGCTCCTAGCAGAGAAGATCTTCAAAAGACAGAAAAGAAATCAAGTGAGAGCTTTAAGGAATTTGCCCAAAGATGGCGTGGATTGGTTGCTCGGGTTAAACCTCCACTGACTGACCATGAACTGAGTAATTTATTCATTAAGTCAACCAAAGGGCCTTATCGTGAGAAGTTAATAACTTGAGTGAATTACACTTTTGCTCAATTGGTTGTTGTGGGAGAACAAGTGGAAGATGGAATCAAGTCTGGAATTATTATTGATTATCAAGCAATGAAGAGTATCCTTGAACAATACCAAAATGGTAGTTTAGGGGTTTCTAATTCGAAGAAAGTGGGCCAAAATCAAAAGAAGGAGAATGAGAATGGCACTATAAGCTTAGTTTATGAAACGTATGGGAGAAATAATTAGCCACGAGGGCAATTTAATAATTCTTTCCAAGCTCCAACTTATCAGCCGATAGTTTGTACAAGTCAACCAAGGCCATTTTATGCCTCTAGTATCAATCGTCCACGACAAAAAGTGAGACGACATTTCGATAAGCTTCCTTTATCATATACTAAAGTGTTTCAACAATTGGTAGCAGCTGGTCTTGTTACTTCTGTACCTATGGTGCCATTAAATCCACCATTTCCAACATGGTATAACCCACAAGCAAGATGTGAATACCATAGTGGAGGTATTCGGCATGACCTTGGATTGTCTTGCTTTGAAGCACTGTATCCAAGATCTAATAGATGCAAAGGAGTTACAAATTGCATCAAAACCTGATGTTGTTGGTCCAAATATCAATAGAAACCCCTTACCAACACACGATGGTTCAACAGTCAATATAATTGAGAAGGATTTTGAGGAAGGTCAAGAGGTGGCTGCAGTTACTCTCACCAATCAAGTTTCATCAACTCCTAGATAGCCTTTAATATTGAAGGGGGTAACACTTACAGTTTCACTCAGACAAGGTTGATCTTAGAACTGCTACTAATGAGGGCTTGAATAAGTGAACAATGGAGTTTTTCCCTATTGCTATCATTTTGGACTAAAATGTGTCTATCATGTTAGTCTTTATTTGTAAACTCCTTTCATATTGCAATTTGAATCTTTGTTCTTCATGTTTTAATTCATGGTTATTTAGTTCTTGATTTTATACGTCCATGAGTTGCATTGTTAGTGAACTAGAATTCAATGTTGAACCCCATAAAGAAAATTGAGGCTTGAGAAAAAGTAAAGGTTGGGAAATGAAGGAGGTGATTGAGGAGAAATAATGGATGAGTAGGAATGAAGGAAATGTACAAAGAGAAATTGATCTAAAAATTTGAAATAAACATTCCTATGATAGAAAGCTTGAGAATTTTTATCCTTACCATTTGAAAACCTTTGCCAAGGAACCATCTTTAAGAATCGCCACAAAGT